AAGGTTGCGAGTTCGAGTCTCAGGTCTGGCAGGAATTGTAGGTGGGGGGAGTGAATGTACAGTGCTCTCTTCCACCTTCAATACCATGACTGAGGTGCCCAAGGCACCGAACCCCCAACTGCTCCCTGGGTGCTGCAGCATAAATGGCTGCCCACTGCTCCGGGTGTGTGTTCACGGTCTGTGTGTGTGCACTTAGGATGGGTTAAACGCAGAGCACTAATTCCTAGTATGGGTAACCATACTTGGCCACATGTCACTTCACTTTCACATTAGAGTAGTTAAGGTCAATTTATACTGCTCCAACAAACTCCAAAAAAAAAAGAAAAAAAAAATCACAATATAGAAATTCTGTCTGAAATTAATATCTCAAATTAATATATCTGAAATCTCTATCTGAAATAAATATCCCTAGATTACTAATTGAAATAAATCCAAATTCTATATTAAGATTACATTTTGATACATTTTGAAAATTGTAAAACTTGCATCAGACTTTTCAAAAACCTGTTATCAATTATCAAAATAAACAGACATATTTACATAAATATTTTTGAGAGCTGCTTTCATTCACTAAACTGATTAATATCTAAATCTTTAAATACATCTGACCGTTTCGATGTTTGCCCTAGACAATGCAAATATCCATCACATAGAAATTTAATTGAATCTGTTTGTTGTACTGCCATACTATTGAATTTTCTCTCAGTTGCTCTCTGAAGTCAGTAATTTCACGTAGTTCTACTCACTAGAAGTGGCACTGGTTTATCTGCTAGGCATATTAATAAATACAATATAGCTAAATCTCAAATGGTGGATCATTTATATCATCAACACATCATCATTGCCCAGTTCTAAAACTGCTTAATGTTAAAGCATTAAGACATTCTAGACATACCAGTATGACAATCTGCAAAGATGCTTTACAGAATTGTGAAAAACACTATACAAATAAATTTGACTTAAACCAACAAAACCCAACTACCATGTTTTTTTTTTTTTTTATGGCACAAGTTTGTTGTAGTAGAGTGAATTGGCCTTTATATAACCTTTATGGAAGTCAGATGATAGGAACTTTGTCTTTTGTCACTGATAATCCTTTACATGAAGTTTATATATAGGCTACATCAGTGGTTACCAACCATGTTCCTGGAGTACCCCCAATTCTGCACATTTTGCATGTCTCCGTAATCAAACACACCTGATTCAGGTCATCAGCTCATTATTAGAGACTCCAAGACCTGAAATGGACAAAGAAGACATGCTAAATATGCAGTGCCCCAGCACTCCAGGTATTTTAGGATGTGGTTGGAAACCACTGGGCTTCATTAAGATTAGCATGTGTAACATGTATTAAATTCATAATAAATATATTTTCCCACATTTGTTCATCTTGGTTAATGTTAATTTATAAATATAGCTACCTTTGTTCATTGTTAGATCATGTTAGTTCTTGATGTTACAACACTTTATTTTAATATTATAAAATTAATTAGTGCACAATTGACACAATTTAAATAGCTTTAAGAGTAATGTTTAGTCTTAGTTCATGTTAACAAATGTAAATGTATAAGGAACCTTACTGTAGTGTTATTGATACACTGCAAACAGCAATCATACAGTGCTTCCAAGCATACACAACCCTACATGTACTTTCCCAATTAATCCTAAACAAATTCTTCCTCACTGAATAGTAAAAAAAAAAAAACCTGCCGTCTTTGAATTCTTTCTCTGGCTGATGATTTTCGTCACTGGTGACTGACATCTGTGCATTATTCTTAATAAGAAGTCCTATTTTTAATAGTGCATTATGTCAGATTGTTTTGAGTAAACAATGTTTTTGAGATTTGTGGATAGAGACAGCCATGCAGGCTTTATAATTATGAATCAACCATTCTGAGTCATACACAATGTTAATACTTGCAATAAAGTAGTATTAAAACTCACTTTGTCCAGATAAACAATATAATCCTGTTATTAATTTACAAAAAAAACTTGAGATCGAAGGGTGGTTCACCACTAAATCGCCTTAATTCTTAAGTCTTTTGTAACTAATATGCATCTTTTCTTCTAAACCAGTTTTTTGAGACCCTTGTAGTGATTTTCAGATGTTAGATAGCTTCACACGGGGCACCACTAAATGTAGTGATGCCTACTGCGAGGAGCGAGGGGACGAAGGAGTGCGGGGACTAAGGAGATCCAAAGCAATCAGATTTTATTTACATCCAAAACACGGGAACACGCACATAGCACATGGAGATTGACATTCAGACAGCACGCAGGACTCAGGAAAACACAGGGCTTAAATTCAGGAACAAAACGAGGGAATTAACAAGACACACCTGGAACTAATGAACATAATCAGACATGGGAGAAACTAGGTCATGGGGCACGTGGGGGAGGAAAACACAAGACATGGAACACAGGAATGACAAGTATAAAGTTTTGAAAATGCACACCTTACTTATGAAAATAGAACCAGACCAATTTAAAAAAACTAATTATGTGCATACATATTGGTGCATTGTAATTACATGTAGAGTACTTGCATTTAATTAACATTTGTAGTTACACTGTTAATTTTACCCCCTAACCGCTACCCAACCCTTACCACAAAACCCAACTCTAACCCCTAATACTAACCTTGACTTTATTATTATTCACACTTTATAAATTTAAATGTCTTTAACTACTATGTACAAATATTTAAATTATTAATTTGGTAGCACTTTATTTTAGTCCTGTTCCACGTGAGCATACTATGTCCTTATTATAGTAATTACAATGGGTAACAACTAGGTACCAACCCTGAACCTACCCCTAAACCTAACCTTAACCCATGTAGTTACCTTATACTACCCAGTATGTTCTTGGGTGCACACTGTAAGTATAAGTACTGTAAAATAAACTGTAATATTAATTTGATACAATACATTTATTGTGTACATACACATTTTTTTACTTGGTACTTCATTTAAAAAAAATACCTGCATGTTATTATATTTTTTAAACGGGTCCTATTATGTCCACTCAAGAATCCACTCCAAAGGGATTTATTCTCCATGTCAGAAAGCACTGTTTCTAATCTCCTTCAAATGCCTCGATTGCAGTCCTGAGTTATCTTCCAAGAACATACGTGTCATAATATCCCTCATTTAAATAATTCCTGGCCAATGAATATGCAAAAAAAAAAAAGAAAAATGAGGGGACGAGACCTGGTCAAGTTGCCTTAGTAATGTGTTGTCACCATGCCCAAGAGACAGATCTAATGTACTGACACACATGCAGCTGTTCGTCGACATAACACATTCGCAGACATAACCAATTATGTTTATGTGAACTTTGTGTGTTTTTGACACAACATTCTGTGTATTTGACACTTGACGGGCAAGAGCTGACTTTATGTGCACGCTTCTTGTCTGCGCTCAAAAAATCATATATAGGAGCATTAAAGTGATAATCAAAAACAAACATGTTTTGTTTGTTGTTCCATAGCAGGTAACCAAGGCACTAGCCGTAAATCCACAGCCCTCCTCTGGAAAGGGGCAGGGAGCAGAAGAAGCAGCTTATTTGCATTTAAAGAGTCACCTAAAAAGAGGTATTTACAGCATGACATATTAAATGTTCTTGGTGTATTTTGAGCTGAAAATTTATAGGCACATTCTGAGGACACCTAATTATGTACATCTTGTAAAAAGGGCATAATAGGACCCCTTTAATAGCTGTAATTATGTCTATTTTAAAATTACATTGTTGACCCTAGCCCTTAAACCACTCTTACCTAACTATACCACAAAACTTGCCCCATTTTTAGCAGTATCCCACATCTGCAGCAAGTGTGTTTTGCAATTCAAAACCACAACAAATACATTGTACCTAACAATCAATTTTTAACACAAGTAAATTTTTATTAAAGACACCTAATATAAAGTGTGAATTACTTTGTATAGAAAACTATTATAAGTACAGTCTGATGTGAGTGTACACCATTCAGATGACTCTTGACAAAAACACAATTTATTTATTATTGTGTAAAAGTTTTTAAAAGTAGCACCAAACTATTATAAGTAATGAAATCACCTTTAAACACTTTTATTTCATGGCACAAATTACAAATTAAGCACTGGGCTATCCTCATTTGTTCGTTCGTTCGTTTGCTTATTTGTTTATTTACTTACTGATGCCATAAATGACTTGTTTTCTGTTAAAAGCTATTTTTTTTCTTTGTTGCAATAGCACACTAAAAATGTGCAAGTGTAACTTTAAATAAATATATTAGGAGAGATATGACTATTTTCATATTCATAGACTTCCTAGAAAGTTAATGTTATCTATAAGCTATCAATTTGCATTCATAGTGCCTATATGATAAAACACTGCAATATAATACATTATGGAAAATCTGGTCCCTGTGCAGAATATCCTTAGAAATCTATGTCAGTAACAAGTGACATTGGTTGTGTAATGTGACACTTGTTGGATGACATATCTATATTATTGCCAGATATGCAAAATCATTTAAATAGATGCAGGAACTGGATTAAGCAAATTTTATGTAAATGTAAAAATATATGCGAATAACCTTCCTTTTTTAAGGTCACTGTTTCCGTAGGATTCATTTGGATTTTGTAAAACAACAGATTACGTTGATATTTTTCTCTAGTCCATTGGAAATCTTTGAATTCATGTTTTCAGCATTTTCAGCCCTCAGGGAGTGCATTAAAGTGTTTTTTTTAATACTCAAAATGTGATGTAACCGCCTTAACGCCATAAAATCTCATACAATGAGATGTTTGTGGTGTAATGCTCTATTTAATAACTGATTGACATATGCTTTGTGAGTTTAGATATGGAAATAGGCATTTGAATCGGTGAATAAAGTGGTTTAAGCAAATAGAAATGTGTTTTAAACAAATTAAGAGTACTATATGAGTCTCACTTCTCTCATCATACGGCTAGCCACTGTACATCCCTGTTTCATGACCAACGGTCTATCTTAAACCATGCTTCTCAGTAGAATTTGCGTTTTCCTTTTGTGCTTTATTAATTGTTCCTTTTTCAAAATTTCTTGGCCACATTCAATTTCTGACTTCAGCTTGGAGGGAGATTATTTATTGGGTGGCCTTTTTGCTTTACATGAAATTGACCAAGTGACATCGATTTTCACCCCAGAGACCACTGAATGTTTCAGGTAAGCAAAGACCTTTTACCAGTGTAGGATTATTGCTATGCAGTATTTTAAATCAAAGAAGCATTTCATATTTCTGAACTGAATATTCAATTACATGCTATTAACTTCCTCATTGCTCTTTTTTAGGCACAGTACCTCCACATCTGGTTATCAGATGTTGCAAGTGATGAGGTTTACTGTTGAGGAGATTAATAACTCCACCACTCTTCTGCCCAATGTTTCTCTGGGCTATGAAATTTTTGACCATTGTTCTAATACAAAGAATTTCCTTTCAGTCTTAAGTTTTGTCTCAAAGAATGGCTCAATAAAACCCAAAGAAAAGCTCAACAACTATCAGCCTAAAGTGATTGCTTTAACAGGGCCATATGGAAGCACAAGAACTATTACTATTGCACCATTAATCACAATGGGCCTTATACCATTGGTAAATTTAATTTATTTTTACAAAACAAAGTACTTAAACGCTTATTTCCTACTATTCTGAAATACCAAGTTACTATGTAATGCTAAATTAATTGTTTATAATACAGTGCTTTCTTTTCTTTCAAAGGTGAATTATGGAGCTTCTAGCTATGCATTAAGCAATAAAATTCAGTATCCTTCCTTTGTAAGAACAGTCCCTAGCAACAAAGACCTTATAGAGATGATTATTCACATCATACGGTGGTTTGGATGGAACTGGGTTGCCTTTCTTGGTAGCCAAGACAGTTACAGTTCAGATGGACTAAAACTGTTTAACAAGTATATAAGCAATACTGGCATTTGTTTGGCCTATCAAGAGGGTCTGAGCTTAAATGCAAACTACCGTCAAACGCTTAAAAAGATTGATGTGCTCAACATCAATGTCATTGTTGTTTTTGCTGTACCACAATATGCAGTCAACATAATCAAAACTGCCATAGCGGAGAATATCCGAGATAAAGTATGGATTGCGAGTGAAACTTGGGCTATGAATCAACAGCTTCCTAGAGAGCCGGGAATTGGGAAAATTGGAACAGTCATTGGCATTACGGAGAGATTGTTGTCATTACCAGGATTTGATAAATTCATCTATAAAGACAGGAGAACAATTAATGGATATAGCACTGAGAGTAATGTCCAGAGTAAGAATAAGACATGCAATCAAGTTTGTGATTACTGCCCACTGTTGACCGCCGAGGAGATTATAAACGAGAATCCCTCATTCTCCTTCGCCATCTACGCTGCCATATATACCATAGCTCATGCATTACATAACGTTCTGCAGTGTGATATGAATGTATGCCCAAAAAACCCAAAGGCCAAGCCATACATGGTAAGTGAATTCATTTGAATTAATGAAAAGATATTGCAATGTTTTAATTAATTAAATAATTAACAACATTGTTTATATATTAAGCAAATGGCATATTATAAATTATATTGAATTATCATTTATGCTATTATGTAAGTATTAGACAATAAATAAATAATATTTATTTTATTCATGTTATAGTTTTATATTATTTATTTATTTATTGTTTATTTATTTATTTTTTTTTAACACACTTCACAACAGCTTATGGGAGAAATGAAGAAGTTAGACTTTCCACTCAATGGCCGCCAGGTGAAATACGATGAAAATTATGATCCAACCATCAGTTATGCAGTTGTGCTCTGGCACACTGATGTGAATCTTCCACAGTTTGAGATGGTGGGCACATATGATACATATCCAGAAACTACTTTTACCATTGACAACTCTCTCTTGCCCTGGCTTAACAATGATTCTGTAAGTTGCATTCATTTATTTTTGGTGAGCTTTTATCTAAACATTTACCTTTGTAGATTACAGCTTTTCTCAACCTGTTTGACATATTTCTACAAATGACAATACTCTCAAAACAATTAACACAGCCATCTAGCAAAACGATTCATGCAAAATTTTCAGCGAACACAGAAAGCAAATACTGATGTCAAAACGTTATCAGCTGATTACTATTCATACATAAGTATAATATGGAAAAAGTCCATTTATCATTAAGTTGACACAATGGAGAAGTTTTTTTTTCTCCATGTGTTTGTCTTGAGCTGTGGACCTAAAGAAAGGACGGGGTGAATTCACTTGGAATTCATGCCTGGCACGCATATGCCTCAATATTTCTGCAGGCCTCTTCTGTTGCTTGGAGAAGAGTAACTTTTTCATAAAGTTTATGGTCGAACACACTCTGTCTCAGGAGGAGAAATCTCACAAATGGATTCAGAAATGGAGAATATGGTGGAAGCAACATCATCACAAAATGTAGGTGATTTTCTAACCAACACTGCATGATGGAATTGGACATTGGCGTAAACCCAAGAAAACCTTGCTATTCATTTTTATTACTGTTTATTATCAAAAAAGCACAGAATGACAAACAAAACAGATGGTGATATTTGATCATTGTTGACCAGCGACACACTGTGGCAGACTGACCAATGACATTCCCCCCTTTTTTTTTTTTGCAGAGATTGACTATAGGTAGAATAGAACCCAGGAAGAGACCATGATTCATCTTTTAGAGGGTGCCTCATCTTTCCTCAATGCTTTCAGTGCTCAACCTTGAAAGTGTAGGGGGAAATCTTCCCTTTCAGATACCTTCAGTCACACTTTAATTTAGGGACCAATTCTCACGATTGACTAACTATTAACTGCGACTTTTAAACTCCTAATTAAATTAAATTTAAACTCCTTGTAAACTCCTAATTTGCTGCTTATTAATAATTAGTGAGGTACACTCTAAAAAATGCTGGGTTGTTTCAACCCAATTTTGGGTCAAATATGGACTAACCCAACTGTTGGGTTAAAAAGCTAATTTAAAAATGTAACCAAAATTTAACCCAACAGTTGGGTTAGTCCATATTTGACCCAACATTGGGTTGAAACAACCCAGCATTTTTTAGAGTGTAGTTGTTAAGTTTCCGTATGGGGTAGGATTAAGGGTTTTAAAATATTGTAATGCAGAATAAGGTACACTCTAAAAAATGCTGGGTTGTTTCAACCCAATGTTGGGTCAAATATGGACTAACCCAACTGTTGGGTTAAATTTTGGTTTCATTTTTAAATTAACTTTTTAACCCAGCAGCTGGGTGAGTCCATATTTGACCCAACATTGGGTTGAAACAACCCAGCATTTTTTAGAGTGTAGTTGTTAAGTTTCCGTATGGGGTAGGATTAAGGGTTTTAAAATATTGTAATGCAGAATAAGGCATTTTATGCTTTATAAGTACTAATAAACAGCCAATATGCTAGTAATATTGATGTTAATAAGCTAATAGTGTGAATTGGTCCTTAAAATAAAGTCTTACCTTTCCTTCAATTCCCTTTACTCTTCCTCAACTCACTCCACCTATTCTCATTCTCTGCCTTTGTCTCTCATTTATTATATTTGCTCTTTAGTTTCTCAGATGATCCCTTTCATGCAAAGCAAATGCAAAGTAAAGTCCTTACTAATGCATAGGATATCAATTTGATGCCAGTGGAATAATGAAGATGGCTTTAGTTTAGTTGTCTGTTAACTGATTTTATAGCAGAACTGAAAAATTTGTGTGTAGTGTTTAAGGGAATTATGTAATTTGTATTTTGTAATTTTCAGTCCATTTATGGAAATTACATAGTGTTCAGGCTGTGTTAATTGTTTGAGAACACTGATTTTAGTTACAAAAACTTTAATAACATATTTTACATTCCTTAAAGGTTCCTTTCTCAAACTGCTCTGTTGAGTGTAAGCCGGGATATTCAAGGAAACCTGAAGGTTTTCATAGCTGCTGTTTTACCTGTAAAAAATGCCCACGTAACAGCTATGTGGATTATTCTCGTAAGTACGGCGTTCAATGGCACCTTGGTATTTAAAAGGGTGGTTCACTGTTTTTTTTCTAGGCTTGATTGTGTTTATGGGGTGCAGTTTAACATGTGTTAATGATTTGTTTTTTAAAAAACGCATTATTTTTCACATAATATACCTTTATTCCACACCGCTCTGTCCCTTCTCTGAGAAACGCGCTGATCATTTCCTGCTTTTATGAAGCCCCTCCCTCAGAAATAGGCGATGGGCTCTGATTGGTTAGCTAGCCCAGTGTGTTGTGATTGGCTAAACCGCCTCTAGTGTGCGTCTAAACGTCCCGCCCCTCACCTCAGTGGCATGTGTTCCAGCTGTATCGTAAACAACGACATCGTTAATATCGCTTATCAGTTTGAGCCTGATTGAGACACAGAGAATATTATTGAAGAGGACTGTGCAGAACCTGTGCAAGCATGGCTTTTAATGGTAGGCCTATGTTTTTTTGTTTGTTGTTGTCTCATACTTTTAGATATGCTGTTATTTGTAAATGCTACTGCTTATGTTAGCTTTTAATATACGGTTTTATCCTGATTAAAACTTTAATTTAGTACGGCAACTGCACGCACGTCCATGTTTAACGCTTCTCATAATGCCCGCCTTTCCTGAGGGCGGGGTTTATCTGGGTTTGTTATGTCACGAACCCGGGAAGTAACTTTTTGTAGTCCCTACCAGCCTTTTTTGTAGGCATTAAACTGCCAGAATTTTGAAAGACGATTTCTCTGTTTGCATTGAACTTTCAGCTTTGTAACTTTGCATATATTGTTTATGCTCAAACAGCAACATTACACACTAACTAACGTTAAAAAAGTGAAATCGCAATCAACCACCCCTTTAAGCATCTTCAGTTCACTCTATCACTAATACTTTACTGGAATTAGGGTACTTTTTGAAATGTGAAAACAAAATATTTTGCCACATTTATTTACTATTATTATGGCTTTTGGTAAAAAGGCATTACTTAACATCCATATTATTTTAATTTTTTTCAGGGGACCCCTATACCTGTTTTCCATGTTTAGAGAGCGAATGGTCTGATGAGGGCAGCACAGCATGTAAGACACGTATTGTTGTCTATCTTGAGTCTGCAGAAATTTCCTCCATCATTGTCATGCTTTCTGCCACATGCCTAATTATTCTCCTTATTGCTATACTTTGCCTTTTTGCCTACAACTTCAACACACCAGTGGTAAAGTCTGCTGGTGGCAGCATGTGTCTCCTTATGTTAATGTGTTTGATTATGTCTAGTATAAGTGTGTTCTTTTTCTTTGGAAAACCCACATTTGTATTTTGCCTCCTGAGAAATGCCATATTTGCATTTTTCTTCACTATCTGTATTTCCTGTTTGACTGTCCGTTCCTTTCAAATTATTTGTGTTTTTAAAATGGCTGCTCAGTTCCCTAAGCTGCACAGCCTTTGGGTAAAGCACAATGGACAGTGGCTTTTCATTGCATTTTCTTCTTTCATTCATTTAATTTCTTGTGTGATATGGATGACTGTCTCTCCTGACAAACCCATTGCTGACTCATGGACTTTTAAAGACCAAATTATGCTCATGTGTGAAATGGGGAACGCTATAACCTTTACCATAGTCGTGTTTATAAGTTGGTTTCTTGGTCTCCTGTGTCTTATATTTTCTTACATGGGAAGAGATCTGCCGAAAAATTACAACGAGGCCAAATCAATAACCTTCAGTTTAATTTTGTACTATCTGAGCTGGATTGTATATTTCACAGCATACCTCTCTGTCAAAAGCAAGTACATCATGCTTCTAAATGCAATGGCCCAGATATCTAGTATAAATGGAATTCTCTTCAGTTATTTCATAACAAAATCTTACATCATAATATTCCAGCCGCAAAAGAACACTGCCGCATACTTTCAAACATCTATTCAGAATTACACCCAGACCATTAGTAGGACTTAGACCAAAACAAAGATGCATTTAAAGTTTTGCATTTAAAGTCAATCCATTGAAGGGAACTGCAGTTCACTTTAGTCGGAGGATGCTTGTGTTTTTAAAACACACTTATATTTATCTCTCAAATATCTACATTTTTTTTTTTTTTACATTTTAGCAAGCATTCCCTATCTACTTACCTTGTAAACTAGTTTATATAGGAACTTCCATGTATGTGGTTAAATTTGTTGCTCATGGTCAAAATGTTGAGGCAGTAATCTACAAAAACCGTCAGCCTGGAAGTGAACTCTTAAACTGTTAGTGGGTTTGATTCTTCACTGTTATGTTACCAAAGTCTTAAAGAAACATATAGAGAAAGAAGATACATTCTGGGGTTCATTTCACATCATAACACTACTGTGATTTATGACAATAAAAAGATTAATTTGAACATTTATACAGTTGTTGTTTACATGCAAGCATTTATACCTACGTATGCTTCCTTTTAACATGTAATAAAGAACATTTTCAAAACTTTCATAACATAACCAAGTAATCAATGGATAGGATATATTTGTGAGGTTTGGATTGTCACTCTTGTATGTTTGATGTCATGCTGATTGTCTATCCAAACCCACATTTGTAGCATTATATAATATATACTTTTTCATTACAACATATTATAAGCACTACATTTTTGAAAATGTGCAAAAATGAAATGGTACGTCTCCCTTTTGCTTTAATGGCCCAAGAAAATTTGACCTTTTATACATAGTGAATATCACAAATATTGCAAAGAAAGATTAAAGTAGCAATAGTAGTTTTGCAACCCTTTTATTTTGTTTTATTTTACATGTGCATATAACAAAACAAATAAATAATTTGATCTCACTGCAGATAAGTTATTTGCTGAACAAATCAATTTCACTGTATAACAAAACACTATTTTTTTCTGATAATACCGTGTTCAAATGTGTTAAAAATACCACCAAACCTCTGTTGTGCATTAACAAAAGCTTTAAATCATTTTATAACATCTGTTAAAATCATTTGTAGATTTTCAATAAGTGCTTGATCATATGGAATTGAAAGTTTAATGACATTTGTAATCATTTTAACTTACATGAAATAATGATTTGTTTGAACATTATCTAATGTTTAATAAGCAAACATTAACAAGCACATTATCTCACATTTCTAACTCGTTGAATATACTGTATATTAACTAATGATACATTAAGCATTATATAATGTTTGTTAATGATTTATTAATGAAAGCATTACCGCGTTTCCTACCATTTCTTTTTCTCTCTGACTCGTTCCATTTCTTTAATCTCTCGCTCCGTTTTTCACAAGTTCATCAAACAACTGTGGTAAGTCGGAAATCATTCAAAAATCACGGTGAGTCATGGCTTCTTTTCAATTGAACTTGATGGACCAGACCTGTTGAAAAGAGATGGTCTTCATCCCTCCAGGCCTGGTGCCGCTCTTCTCTCTAGAAATATAGCACATAGTCTTAGAGTTTGTACTTGACTAACTGGGGCCCAGGCAGACAGGCTTGCTAAACCGACCGTGCTAGCCGCCTCACAGCAGTCAGTTAATTCTCATCACATAGATACTCTTTCACCTAGATATCATACTACATATACTGTGTCTGTTCCCCGAACTAGCAAATGCAAATGCAAAAAAAAACAAAAAACATCCAAAACAATTTAAGGGTAACAATTTAATTGATGTTAAACAAATAAAAAACAGATATAATACAGATAAACAAGTGATAAAGCTTGGCTTAATGAATATTAGATTCCTTTATACAAAAGCACTTTTTGTAAATGATATGATCACAGATCATAACGTACTCAGTTACTGACGTAACCTCGGTTCCCTGAGATACGGAACAAGTACTGCATCTGTTTAAGACGCTTGGGGACAACTCCTTTTTCTCCGATGACTGAAGCCTTTCAATAACGCAGTGTAACTGCACGGCCATTGGTTCGTGCAGTGAATAAAAAATGAGCTGCACGAGCCTATGGTGGTAAAGCCCGCCAGAATGGGCGGAGTCCTCTGGCTATATAAGCGGCACATCGCCATAGGATCCTCAGGTTACTTCGACTGAAGTGACACATAGCATACATAGCACGGCAAAGTACGCAGAGGTCCAGGGCTTCACGGTCCAGGCCCACCTCTGCTCCATTGTCTGTCACTGCTTCACGGCCCAGGTCCTCCACTACTTCACTCTCTGCCACTGCTCCACAGCCCAGGTACTCCAGTGCTTCACTGTCTGCCATCGTTCCACGGTCCATGTCATGATTCAGGTCCCATTCCCCTTCATGGGCCTGACCCACCATCTCACCCCCTGCTCCGCCTCTGCTCTACCACCCTCCTGGACTTGGTGGGGTTTGGGTTTTATTTGGGCGTCTGGAGCCACCCTTAGAAGGGGGGACATGTAACGTGGGGTTTGTTTCTTGTTCATTGTTTTCATGTCTTTTATTTTGTAGTTTGGCCACAGTCATGTTCTGTCATGTGATTCCCTTGTCTGTGTGTTATGTTTTGATTGGTTCTTTGGTTCATGTGTCATGGCTACCACTTTGTTTATTTAAATGGGGAGTCATCTCAATTATCACCAGTACAATATGGAGTGCCACAAGGATCTGTCCTAGGTCCTCTGCTATTTTCGATATACATGTTGCCCCTTGGTAATATTATTAGAAAATACGGAGTATCATCAGCATAACAGTTTCCACTGTTATGCTGATGATACTCAACTATATATCTCAACAAGACCAGATGAAACTTCTAAATTATCTAAGCTAACAGAGTGTGTTAAAAATGTCAAAGATTGGATGACCAATAATTTTCTCCTATTAAATTCAGATAAGCACAGATATTACTTATTGGACCAAAAGACAGTACACAGAATCTCTTGGATTACAATTTGCAACTAGACGGATGTACTGTTACTTCCTCTACAGTCAAAAATCTGGGTGTTATATTAGATAGCAACTTGTCTTTTGAAAATCATATTTCCCATGTTACAAAAACAGCATTCTTCCATCTTAGAAACATTGCCAAGTTACGAAACATGATACCTGTTTCTGATGCAGAAAAGCTAGTTCATGCATTCATGACCTCTAGAATGGACTATTGTAATGCACTGCTAGGTGGTTGTCCTGCATCTTCAATAAACAAGCTACAGGTAGTCCAAAATGCAGCGGCTAGAGTCCTTACCAGGTCAAGAAAATATGATCATATTACCCCAATTTTACAGTCTCTGCACTGGCTACCTATTAAGTTCCGTATCAGTTACAAAATATGATTACTTGCCTATAAGGCCCTTAATGG